GGTCAGACTCCAGCCCCGGGGAGGGCCGGGCAGCAGGCAGGCGGGGCGCGCAGCCGGAAAGCCAGGGGGCCCAGGGGGCCAGTAGCTGCCCCCCAACACCCAGAACTGACTCTGAAGAGGTGGGAAGGGGGCCTGCTCCCGCTGCTGCCCACACCCAAACCCTCCACAGTCCCGGAGACCGTCTTTTCCGTAAATCACGTAACAGCGAAAACTAACAGCTTCCGACCCACAGCAGCAACATTTAACGAAAGTGACGAGGCTGCTCAGGCCAGGAGTGACCGCCCAGGAGATGACAGCACGCGCTGTGAGCACCCCCCCACCCTGCTCGCAGCACCCCGTGGCCGTGGGGCCCCTTCACCCTGAAACCTGAAGAACCCTGACACGGTGCAGGGCCTCGGCAAGGGGCTGCCTCTGGCCGGCGCTCAGATGCCGCAGCCTCGGTGAGACGCTCCACGTAGGTCTCTTCCCTGCTCCGCCTCAGAGGGGCTTCCGGGACTGTCAGTGCCGGGGAGGTGCACGCCCCCCCCCCCCCCCCGCGGCGCTGGCGGTCCTGGTTCCCCATCATGGGCAGGAAGGTGCAGGCTCGGGCCCCACCTCCCTCCCGCGATCCTCACCCCTGCACAGCATGGTTCCCGGGGACCCTCTGGCGCCCCTCCTGCCCAGGCCCTCCCCCCCTGCAGAGTCCTCAGGGGCTGAGTCTTATTTCAGCCCCACAAGACAGAAACCACACACTGCCCAGAGTTCCTGTGACGACAAGGACACCGGGAAGGTCAGCTGGTGTCCTGCGGCGGGTGCAACACCAGCAGCGTTAGGTGGCCTGTGAGCGCCCACGGCCTGCTGCGCGCCTGGCCTCCCGGCCTCCGGCCAGCGCTGGTGCGCGGGAGAACGGTACTGTTGGGACACCGACACCAGTGACATTTAGCTGGCCAGGGCCACCGCCAGCAGGTCCCGACACTCCCGCGGGCCCTGGGCAAAGTGTAAGGGACACCCGAGAGCGGGGCACGGCTGCTGGGAGGCCGGAAGGGCGCGGGCGTCGAGGGAGCGCGACCTAGCAGCAGGACAAGCCGGCACCACCTCTGAGACTGACCGGCCCGACGGCCAGCTGCCCGGGGCGCCTTCCGCGGAATCGCGCGGGCGGCGGACTGCGCCGTGGACACCCGAGAGCGGGGCACGGCTGCTGGGAGGCCGGAAGGGCGCGGGCGTCGAGGGAGCGCGACCTACGGCACCACCTCTGAGACTGACCGGCCCGACGGCCAGCTGCCCGGGGCGCCTTCCGCGGAATAGCGCGGGCGGCGGACTGCGCCGTGGACAGCGCGGGAAGCAGGGCCAGGTGGGCAGGGCCGCGGCCTCCAGGGCGGC